TGTTCAACTACATTAGCTGTAGCTAATGCAAAAAGTAATAAAGCAACCGAAAAACAAAAGACTGCATTTGTCACTTCACTAAGTGATTGGGTGTGTTCAAATGCTCGTCCAATTAATATTGTTGAAGATAGTGATTTAAGAGATATAATGAATCACTGTGTATTCAAATAGGTAGAGTTTTTGAAATTCTCAACTACATTATTTAGATTTATTTTATAGGATACACATATGGACCTGTATCTGCTTCATCTATTTTACCTCGTCGTAAAACGGTCAAAAAAGAAATTAAAAATGATGCTAAAATTGGCCGAAACGAAATGAAAGCCATTCTTATAGGAGTAGCATATGAACGACAATTATCTTTGTCGCCTGATTTATGGTCAGACAGTTATAAGAAGATGTGTTACTTAGGATGTACGGCTCAATGGGTCGATAAAGACTGGAAGTTGTGTTCATTCGAGTTATTTTGTTTACCTTATTGAAAACCCAACAAAACTCCACCAATATAATTCAGGTAAATTTTTCATTTTCTCAACATATAATTTAATTCATTTTTACATAACTGTGTAGGTCATTAAAGAAGGTCTAGCACTTTATGATTAACAAAATTTTATGTACGATATAATTTGGGTATGTGACCGAGAAAGTAATTTGAAAAAAGCATTGGAAAAATACACAGTTGTACATTGCGTTGCACATCGATTGAATAAAGTTTTGCAACAAACATTTTATCAAGCTGAAATGAATAAAGTAAAGAATGATGTAACATTTGGTGATAATTACATTGATTCAGCGGAAGATGAAGATGATCAAATGAGTGAAAGTGAAAGTGAAGAAATTGAAGAGTCCTTCGACGATGAAGAATTAATTGATAAACAAACCAAAGCTTTTAATGTATCCAAAATATCTAGTTCGATTAATCCAAGTGCCACTCTCTCTCAACTATCGGCCGATGCAAAACGTGTTTTAGTAACGATTATCCACTGCAAGCAACTTGTTAAATATATTAAGAAGGTAAGTTCAATACGAAGACTATCTTATTAGTAACTTATGGAAATAATAAAATCGAAATAATTGGACAAACAACGTTTTTCTTTTTTCAGGTAAATTTAAATCAAGAACTCGAAGATAGAGATGCAAGAGTTTTAATTCAAAGTACCATTGTTAGGTGGCTATCGTTATATTATTGCTTAGAGAGTGTTCGACAATTTCTAAATCTATTATCTGAAATATTTGATGAAAAAAAATGGATAAAAAACGAATCAACCTAATTAATATATCTATTTTGGATAAAATGTTAAACTTTTTAAAACCTTGGACGAATGTGATGAAACGTATTCAATCATCTTTAATTCCATCAATTCATACAGTTACACCAAGTATATATATAATTAACTCTTCATTAGAAATAAAAGTAAATGATGTTAACAAGAAAAAGGTTTATCATTTCCAGGTTTAATATTGATTTGATAAATAACTTTTCTCGTTTTTTTTTAAAATAGGTATGATATTTCTTCGACAACGAGCGAAACAAGTTATGAAAGAAAAAATTTCTTTTGCTCCTATACATCTTATGAGAACTTTCTTTAATCCTAAAACCAGAAAAATGAAGCACTTATCACCAAAACAACAACAAGAATGCATCGAATACGTTAAACAGGAAATGCTTATTATGGATGTGGATCAACATGTTGGATCAACCTCCAAAAAAGAAACAACTTTTGGCAACAACTTCATGTACATATATAACAGAATTTTATTTAAATACCGAGAATGATGATGAAGATCATGTTGATCAACATGGATCCTCAAAAGCTGCATCACATATGATCGAAATTGATTTATACTTGAAGCACGGTTTAGATAAAGCGACAATATCAGCAGAATCTGGCCAAGAAAACGAAGAATTTAATCCTCTATCATTTTGGAAGAATAAACATGGCTCTTATCCTATTTTGGCAAAGGTTGCTGCTCTTGTTTTAGGTGTATCAGCTACAAGCGCAGCGGTGGAACGCGAATTCAGTTTCGCTGGTAACATTATTAGGCAAGAGCGTCCAAGATTATCGCGAGATACAGTAAACGACATTGTTTTTAATCATTCCTTCCTTATGTACAAACATAGATTTAATAATAATAAATAAAACAAATTGTAGCGTTGTTGTGACTTTTTAAAATAATTGTATTGCTTTTTACTTAATGTATATAACTAAATAAATATATATCTATGATGTGTACGTAAATATCATTTTACGAGAAAAAAATACTAATAATATTTTGATCTTTCTAAGATATCTAAGACATTTGAATTTCTTTCGGTTCGGTTCCGAATTTTTAAAAAATCGGTCGGTTCGATTCGGTTCAGTTCGAAAAAAACACGAACCGATCCCATCACTGATAACAATATACCTAAAGAAAAAACGCTTGAAGTTTTCGTGCGATACCAAACGGGAAAACCAGAATATAGCCTCTCTCACGCATACACCAATGACAATTATTCCATCTTCAAATAAACAACGGTGATTACAGAAATTCGACTATGCTATATCCCAGGAGGATCATTCCAGCCGTCTGAAAGACCATCGAAAACGGCCTGAAATGGCTATAAAATGACATAAAACGGCCTTAATTTTCGCTCTATTTCGCCGTAGTCCACCAGCTCGTTTTAAGGGCAGGGTTTTTGCTAGAAAACGGCCATCGCTTTTAACAGTATTCTATTCGTTTTCCGAGATGACAGAAAACGGCGCCGTTTTTTAACGTTTTACATAGTTTTTATGCCGTTTGCGGACGGTTTCCTTCCACCTGGAGTACAAAGAACTCGAAAAGCAGGGACACTTTCAAAAATAGTACTAAACCATCTCACGAACTGAACTGCAAGCTCTTACTCATACCACAGGTTAAAAAAGCTTCGACACGTCACGAGCACAGCATCGACGGTTACAAACAGCAAATATCTACATACGCGATTTTCTGAGAACGGAAAGCTCGAAAAGCACGCTAAAGAAATGCACTAAAATCATGCAGTTAACATATGAAAAAGGTACACTGTCACATTAACAACAAACCGTAACTGAGCAAATATATCCCATATCGAATGCAAGATAAATTGCACAGACATTGTCACTCGACTTTCGTGTCCATATTCGGATTCTGGACCAAACATAAAATACATATACAAATACGCCATTAAAAATACACACTAACGATTCAGCTGATTTATAAATTTTATAATTTACAAAAAGTAAATCTAAATCTATTCCTAAATTTAAAATGCACTGCCAGTTAGATGATCTTTTTCTTTTGCTTGGGAATGGTTTTTAAACGGTCGCGATTTTTTTTCATTTATTTTCGAATTGTGAATAGTTATTCAGCTGTCAATTTATATTCGAAGTCGAATTAGTCGTCTCATGCTGTTGGGTGTCCTTTTACATTCGAATTTGAACTAGGCATCTGATGGCGGATGCAATTTTGGATGTAACGGAAAAGGGATATTATACGTCAACGTTCACACCCATATCCAATTGGTTGAACGTAATAAAGCAAGTTTACGTCGTCGTGATCGTACGAAAACAGAATCCCCAATGGTGAAAAACAGAGCCGTGTACAGGACAGGCCGGTCCTGTTGTCCTGCCC